AATTTTAAGTAGCAGTGTCTGCTGGGACATGTCTGGTGAATGTAATTCTTCTTGTAGAATTATTCCCCTGTTTTAGGGGGCATAAAAGTCAAAATTTGTGCCTAGTTCTTTACTGGTACCTGCAGCTGCCAGTTGAAACAGTGTCCTGACTTGCCTTCTTCATCCTAACCTCCCTGTGGCCAGCAAGCACTGTGATGCACAGAGGAAAGCAGTGGCTCTGGAGAGTAGAGGACCTTTTTCCAGCCTGCAGAGGCACGTGAAACAAGCTGTCATACTTCACTGTGTTGAGAACAGCTTGTTAAAAGAAACAGATTTTGCACATCATAGACTCATAGGGATGGCTTGGGTGGAAGAGACCTTTAAAGGTTATCCAGTTCCAACCCCCCAGCCACGGGCAGGGACCCTTCCACCAGACCAGGTTGCTCAAAGTCCCATCCAATCTGGCCTTGAACCCTGCCAGGGAGGGGGCAGCCACAGCTTCTCTGGGCAGCCTGGGCCAGGGCCTCACCACCCTCACAGTAAAAAATTTCTTCCTTATATCTTTGAGATAGATCTTTCCTTATGTCTTCCTTATATCTTTGTGACCCCTTGGGCAGATCGCCAGCTATCAATATAGAAGGTCTGTATGGCATCATCCTTTTGTTCAGCCTAAACCAGCATTTGTGTAGGGTTAAGGATTAAGCTTTATATCTTTTTTTTTTTTGCACATGTGTGAAAAAATTGCTGTTGTAGATGAATTTTTTCTTTAGCACTTTTTATATTTCCCACTATTCAGAAAGAATAATGTGGTAGTCTGCAGAAAGAGTCCAGGTGGCAGAGTCTTTTACATGGCTGCTACCTGTGTCACTGTGTTAGGTACTTATATGTTCTGAGTCCATAAGAATGAAAACAAAAATTGTAATTTGCAAAAATTTTGGAAAAAAACCCAAACCAACATTTAAAAACTTACAGTATCGCTTCATAATTTCCACAAGTATCTTCTGGAATCCTTACAGTATCACCACTCATTATTATGTATTAAATCCTAGTAACTGCTACATTATGACATTTCTCAACTTATAATAAACTTTGCTTTCTCTTGGCAGATTTGCAGCTTGATGCGAGGTGGAATAGCTGAGAGGGGTGGGGTAAGAGTAGGACATCGTATTATTGAGATCAATGGACAAAGTGTTGTTGCTACTGCTCATGAGAAGATAGTACAAGCATTGTCTAATTCAGTGGGAGAGGTAAGAAAACAAATACTTCATCAAGGAATTAAAGCTGTTGAAAGATTATATTTTTCGGTTGAAATGAGTGTCTTAAAACAGTATTAAAACTACCACCTCAGTAAATTGGAGTTGACCACTAATAACAAACAATTAACAGAACATTTTTTAACAATTAGATGTACATTGACTGCATTTTTCCACTCATTTTCAAGAGTTCCTGGCATGATTCTGAGCCTTCAACCTACTGTTTGAATTAAACCATCAATTAAGGGAATAAATCACACACGAATGTTAGCTATGAAAAATGTCTCCTGGCTTATCACTACAGCATCTGCCACAGAAATAAGTTAATATACAAAGAGCTGTAAGATTCAAATTTATATGTATTTTAATAATTTCATTTCCACTGAACATTTCGACTTACCTTTGCATCTCTCTCCAGTACTTTTAGAGAAGTCAGCAATGAATGGACAAGAGCCGTCAATTTATCAAAATCCCTACTGAATTTAGTGGCAGTATCACACACAACCCTGGCCAGATCTTCCACTAGTCCCTTTGCCAAACATCAAGGATAACTTTCCTGTGGAAAATGATACTTGAAAAATAGTACAGAGTGTGTGCACATTGGCAGGAACAAAGCTGTAGATTTCAGTAGAACCTCCATAGCATCTCACTAAACATGTCAGGACAGTATGAAACTTTTTTTTTCAGCATGAAGAGACCAAGATATCAAGGCAGCATGTGGCTGGCGTGGGTCTGTTTTATCATTTCGTAAAGTTTACCTTCCTTCCTCTTGTGTTGTCTGATAGGTACTTAGAGCTGTTACTACATTTCTGATACAACTCTGACTACCTGATGCCGTTAATCCTGTTAGTCTGCTACATTCCTCTTGACACTTACCACAGTACTCCTTGTAGAAAGAACTAAAACACACCAGCCATGAGAGAACTTGTTCCACCAAACTCTTGACTGGGATTTAAATACTAGGTGATAAAGTCCAAGTTTTGCGTTCAGAGGATCATACTCCAGTTAAGAGAAAATATATACAAAATGACAGTCCCACAGGGAAGGAAGACAAGAAAAATTTAAGTTCAGTTAATACCAGAACAGTAGAATGAATTTTCAGAGAGGTTTGTGCTGCTTCTTTTTTAAGGGCTGCAACTGGAGTAGGGTGTAACAACGGAAGGTGTTTCGGTGTCTTTATAGCATCCTGTCATTGTCATTTTAAAAAAAAACCACACACACAAAAAAAAGCAAAGACAGCAAACCAGCTTGTTAGAACAAAAGAACTTTGAAGTAGAAACTTGGGTACCATTCACATCTATAAAACCCACGACAATAAATGCACTTGCACCGCAGGGAGAGACAGACTGGGCCTTACCGATTATTTTGAACTAGCAACAATGTTAATTTCTATGTAAATCCATTGACAGATTCACATGAAGACCATGCCAGCTGCCATGTTCAGGCTTCTAACTGGACAAGAGACACCCCTGTACATCTAGCATGCGACTCTTGCAGCAAAATAACCAAATGATTCCATCAAAGCTGAAGCCCTCATAGCTGAAGAGAATTTTGTATTTTGTATGAATGAAAGTCTTTGAAGCTGACCTGAGGACTCCGAAACAAGGAACAGACAGGTGTCTCTGCCTTTTCTCTCCTTCCTTTTTATTTCTTTGCTAAAAAGTGATGAGAAGGATGGTCAAAGACAATAATCATTGACAAAAATCTTTGTAAAGCATTAAATATTTTACAACATCTTCTAAACTTTTCTCATAAAACTTAAAACATATTTATTTGTAACCTTTATGTGGAGTGACGTATGTCTGTCTTGTTTGATAACATGGTGAATGTGAATATTTGATGAATGAGACTGCAGGAAATGGCAAAGAGAAGCAATCAGAGAAAGCTGTGGCTGCCTCAAGTTTAAAAAAAAAATCCCAGTCCCATAAAATAGTCCTATACTGATGGCTTTGCATAATTTTAAAACTGTGCCGAGTAGATGGTATTTCAGTGGAAAGGAATGTGTGCAGTTCAAACTTTTAGATTCTAACGTAAAGAAAACCACTGTAGTACTTGATATTGTCATGACAAGTGTAACCTGTTTGGCAAGGTGTGAACATAAACATGTAACAAGTGTTTCATATGCTAAATAAAGAATAATTGCCACAAGATTAAAAGCAAAATATTTATTTAGATACATATTTATTTTTAATGCTTGTGATTTTTATGATTTAACAGAGTTATTTCATGGGTGACTTATTGCACAGGTTGTGTAATGTATGTGTTGGGCTGGGTGGTGGGGGCTCTTTAATTTTTGCATATTACCGTTTTGTTTGTATTAGCTTAAAATGGGAAAGCCATGCTTACCTGTTTCTGTCTTTTATAAAGCATTCTTATTCCTAAGGCAATGTGTTCTGAATGTAAATTGTTTTGACAAAAAACCTAGCACCATCAGCAGTATTAGAATGTGTGTAGATAAAAACCCTAGTAGTAAAGTTGTATTCCTTACGAGATAAATGTTAATTGGTGTAACTTTCCGTCTAGATTTTTTTTTTTTGGCTAAGACCTTGAAGAAAATACACTGTGACTTAAGAAGCCTTACCATGCAGTAACTAAAGAGCTTTAGATGACTGTACTTCACGGAGTAGTGTGTTGCATGCAACTGACCTTAGGAAAGAATTAACCTACTATCACTAATAAATCTGAAATAATAAAGGAAGCTTGCTTATTTTGTTTGTTGTCTAAGTTTACATAATAAAAAAAATCCAAGTAGAAGCTCATTTAATTCTTCATCTAAGTGCAGTTGCAAAGGTCGCAGATTATTTTTTTTAAAAGGAATTAATCTCTTGAATTAGGAATTTGTATAACATTATTATTGAGATTAGATGCTTTCAATTAGCATACCTTGTTGCCACTGGATGTCACTGTGACTTCATATCAATACAGAAGCATGCTATAATTAAAATACACTAAAATGGATGATTCTGTAAAACTTAAAACTACCCCTCTTCAGCTACATTCCTTTGTGACCTTTTCACAGGATATCTGCCCAGCTCAGAGTGGCACAAATGAAACCAGTATATGATTAAACTTGAAATGGAAACTAGCACTACTGACAAGCACTGCTGCAAAAAAAAAAACCCTGAAATGTCAACCTGTGGTAGGTTCTTTGTGAGAACCTTTGGTTTAAGGCCTTTCTAATTTCCTCTCAGAGAGCTAGGATGAAGCTTGCACTGGAAGACGTTGCTGGCAGACCTGTGTTCATGCTGGTAATCAAATTAGTGTCAACGGTATTTACTTCCTGATTTTTTTTTTTAAGATCAATGTTAAATCATAAATGCAGCAGAACCACAAGGGCATGTTTTAGTAATACAATTGTCAAAACTACTAATTCGAGTGACAGTTCTTCTTGAAACAATGTTCAGGGCTCTGCTAGATAAAAATTCATCTAACTTCCTATCAGTTCCTGTTTGTAAAAAGTTTGTGAAGTCTGCTTTTTGGAAATGCAGAATTTCAAAGATGTCTTCCCTAATGCATCTTTTGGTTACAGCTTGCAGAGTACTTAAATGTCAATTTTCAATAGCACACGCTACTCCATTAATAAACTTGTGAGCATTCAGAACAAAGGAAAAATAAATCACACTGCAGCCTTTACTGTAATTTAAAAGGGCAACATCTGGGGGGGGTGTCGGAGGTACTGGAGGAGCAGTTTAATAGGACAGATCAGTTAGCCTGGCATGAGAGACACTGGAAAAATGGGTTAGAAGTGGCACTGTATGTGCGTATGAATCACCTTTACATTTCTATCCAAATCAGTTATTGAAAAAGCAAAGTCCAGAAATACTTTTTATTAAAACACTGATCATAGTTAAAACACTTTGAGGTACATAAAATAAACAAAACTTTTCAGTTGTACAGCCGGTCTCTGGCGGTTTTGCAATGGTTTTCAAGAAATGCTAGGCAGCATCAGTAGTATTTCAATAAGTACAGTGAAATAAATGCCTTTCTGGTTGAGAAAACATTTGTTACGACTTTACTAATAAATCAGTTAAAATTTTGCAAAAATCAGGGCTGAAATTTACATTCAGAAAAACAGGTGTTCTCCTCCTGCTGTTGGAAAAAAAGTGGAATTCCAAAGGAAGAGACTTTTCCTTTTTTAAGTCATCCACTACTTGTATTTCTCCCAGTCCTGGTTTCTTCCTTAATTGTCTCTGCTGGGATCACATACCTGTGAATATTATCAAAGGATGGTCTCCCGGCAAACTCCAATTAAACTGTGAGGCCTGTCCCGCTCTGAGCTGCAAGTGATCTGGGACCTACGTAAGAAGGCAACTGGAGAGCTCAGAGCACCACAGCTCTGGAGATGAAGATCTTCTTGAAGTCGCTTTCTAGAGGTATTCGCATTCTGCTGGGAACTTGTAATGACCTGTGTGAAAGGGCAGGAACGGAGAAGGAAAAAAATGGGGAAAACAGGGTGAGAAATGTTTTCATTTAAAAGGTGCAGTCCCTGAATATGATTTCATTTAAGTTATCTAATGATGGCACTCTCCCTAAGGAGATGTGTGTTTGTGCAGCCATCCAGACACCTTCTCACTTCTGTTCTCACAGCTGGTCAGGGCTAAGTACCGGCTACTGGAAGGCCCGGCAACAGGCCTCGTGGCTGTACCGTATGTAGTGTGGAATCAACAATGGCGCAAGCAAATACGTTTTTCTCTCTATACCAATAAAAAAGAAACCTGTGGAAAAGGCAGCAGCTCTGCCTTACAATCGACAAATATAACTTTGGAGCAAATTAAACTCATCTGTTTCTTTTAGGAGAAAAAGAGGCTTCACTAGCTTTGCTGAGGGTGGAAGAGGACTAAAACCTTGCAAGCCTGGTAAACATTTTGATGTTAATAGAACTGTCAAGCTACTTCACAAACCTGAATTATACAACTGTTTTACCAAAATTCTGTGTCGTCTTAAGTAAATTGCTGGGATGCCTTGGATTTTCACTAATTAATAATGGTTTTTGTCTGAAAAAAAATAACTGTTAAAGTTATTTCTTTAATGTGAAAAAACTGTATGTCTCCCTAGAACTAAGAAATCCACACAGGATAAAAATGGGACCATTGGTTTCTGGTTTTATGTTCTACATAAACACTCAATTTTTTTTTATACTGTTTTGTTTTGTGAGAAACTATGGCTTTTTCATTTAAAGAAAATTGTTTTCAACATTCTAACCTTGAGGATCTAATGACCTATAAATTTTGCAAAGCAGTAAAATTGTTAGAATTTAATTCCATACTGACACTCTGTTAAGCATGTCCTGATAGCACTGCTTTTCTACCCATGTGACTACAGAGGTAACTGATACGGTCCTACTTCTTTGTTCTACTTCATAGGTAACAAAAACAGTCTTGCGGCAAGCTTTATTAAATGCTTTATGTTTCCTGCTACTCATCAAAATATCTCATATGCTGTTTAAGTGTTATTACATCATATTTTATTACTTAGCCAGTTTCCCTCATTTAGGGATCAGCAGACTAATACCACAGAAATTACAGTGTCTGAGAAGGGGGGGAACAGCCCCAGGTGTGTATCCGCAATTGTCTGTCCAGCTCTGTGGAAATCCTACAGGCAACCTCGACGTGGTTACTCAGAGCTAAGAGCATTCTGCTTTTAAAATCTGACAACATTAAAAGGAACTTCACTTCTATAGCTGTCATTCTGGTGACAATATTAGCAAAAGGTGATTCATCACTTTTCTTCCTCCAAAAAAGATTTATTATTAAACTTGCATTAGATAACAAAATTTGCTGCCACTACTAATTCCTTCGTTTTGTAGGACTCCTTTCAAGCATTGTGTCTGTTTTATTATCACTCAAGGTAAGAAGATGCAGTATTCCTTCATTTGGCAAAGCACAATTTCTCAATTCTTTTTCTTACAAAGCAAGAGTTATTACCGTTCTAGTCAGGAGTAAGGGTAACTGCACTGTTCTGTTCTGATAGATCATGGCCCTGCTGATGTATCCACCCATTTTTTTCAGCCAGTAGCTTATGCTGTACAAATACACTGGCCTGAAAAAGCAACAGATCCAAGTCCGCTCTGTGTATCTCTGTATATAAACACAAATTCATGTATGGAACACTCACAAGTGCAGAAAGAGGTTGGAAATAAGAAAGGATGATTATCAATGTGTAAATATCAGTTCCCTATAGATCTCCTAGGATATTACTCAGTCCAGCTGAAGAATTTTAAATGCATTCATGAGTGCTTCAGTGTAAAAAGCACTGCTGCCCAAAATAATTAATTATTTCTTACTGAGGCCATGTTACTATAAAAAAAAATTTTGTACGAACTGTCTGAAGTACTTGTGTCTACCATGGTTGAACAAATCTTTAGAACGTAAATGGCCTACCTGGTCTATAATATTGGCACTGAAGATGGCTTCTTCCATGTGTCTCTCATCAGATTTTATTACTGATCGTATGCTGTTCACTACATGACGTACTTCTGGAGGAAGATTACAGTTTGAATGTTCCAAAAATTTTGCCACTAAAATTTTTGTGTCTTTATAGGCCTTAAGGTCCACTAAAGAGTGTGGTCGCTCTTTTGAGACTGTGTGCAAAGCCTTTGGCTTTAGGCGTAGATCAGTTTTCCTTGTATCCCTCTGTTTTCCAGTTGGTAGGACACTGCTCAAAGAATGCTGACAAGCAGAGGCAGCCACATGAGAACCAGAAACAGGAACTAAAAAAGGGGGGGAAGAACATCTTTAAAGTAATAGTTTAAAAAAAGGAAAAAAAAAAAAGAAAAAAAGAAAAAGAAAAAAAGGCAAAACAAATACAGTCACAAAAGTTTTTACTTTGTGGGAAAATGTCTGTTTTGTCTTAAGAACAAAAACACGCAATCAAGGAAACACTGAAAAATGGGTAAATTTAACCAGGGGTCACCAGTAAAACTCTTTGTTGTGACCAAGCAGGACTGCATTGAGGAGGAGTGGGTAGGTAATAAAGTACTTCATAGATCACGGACATTTTCGTTACCTTTACTTTCAGGGACTTCAGCTGACCTTAATGGTAAGGGGAAACACCAGCTACTCTGTGTTACATATGTAACTTGTAATGCTTTAGCCCGCCCCCCAAAGGATAAAGTTCCCCTTATTTCTAGGCCTTGAAAACTGTAAGCAGTGAATAATACAAAAGAGATCAGTATGAAATACAGAGAAAGCAAAAATGCTGAACTAAACCGGAGGACTTCATTTGCAGCATCTGTTTTCACTCAAAGGCTGGTTCCATCAGGATTGTACATCATATATGTATGCTGTTAGCAAGTGATTTTTCTGCCCTGAATTTTCTAGAGCTTGTTTCTCTATCATAAGTTTTAAATTGTTTTTAAAATAAGTGAAGGAAACCCATATGAACCTGCTTTAGAAAACTACTCCTCACCTGCTTCTAATGTAGCTGGAGATAATCCTGCATCTTGACACTGGCTACATATAGGAGTCCAGGCACAATTATCACCTTTAACCAGAGAGAGACAGAAAGAGCACAATCAACCCCTGCTATCCTCTGCCCAAAGCAAGGAAAAATACATTGGAATCTTTTATTATGTCCTTTACAGAAAGAAACTACTCAGAAGAAATACTACTTGCAAGAGGTCTGTTCATAAAGAGAAGCTACTCTATACAGAAATGTCCTGTAAGCTGTTAAATAAATACAAACAGACAGATACAGTTCCTGCTTGATCCTCTGTTATCCAGCTATCAAATCCTAAATATTTCAGGCCTAAGTGCTGAAGCTACGGAAGGCTCCTTGACAGGGGCACATCGCAGACTTTCCTGTCTTTCCTTGGCAGACAGAATTTATCTTAGAAAATTGGAAAGATTAATCCCTCTTATTTCTACAAAACCAGCATTTCACTCAATATTTCTACCTCCCTTTTTTATGGATTCTCATTCTTTGGAGGACAAATGCTATCCACCACTTCTTCGATTAATGGGTAGGTGACCACTATGGCTACTGATGGTCCAATCAATAACACATGGTTACAGAGCATCTACCAACAGCTCTGGACACAGTTGCCTTCTAAGGACAGAATTCCTGGGATGCCAGCACCAGGATCAATGATGATGAGATCATGCTATACAGTATTTACTAGTGCTGTTTTTTTGATCTCAAGCTTCTAATAATCAAGATGGAATAAACCCTTACTTTTATGCTAACGCTGTTTACATATGTTTCCAAGACTAAAAGCTATTTTGAACTTCTAGGTAGAAGAGGTTTTCTTCCATGTCTTCAGGGAAAGTTTATAATGAAAAGCTGGTATAATCCTCTCCAGTAGAATTACTAATTAAATGAAGGAAAACAAAAGATGCTACAAACAGAAAATCTGTAAGAAATTAAGAAAGACAGCTTCTATTCTGTCTTCAATTTACTTTATTATGCTGAAGTACTGCAACACAAGAATCATGGCGTGCTTATTACGAGGAGACACTTCAGAGGTTCTGTCTTCCCATCTATTACTATACTGCTTAATGTACTTGCTGCACAGTCAAAACTACACCACTAGACATTATCCTGAATTATCTGGAACACAGACACTACAATAATCACTAAGGCACTTAACTGATACAGCCACATGGTCTACCATATTTGATTATAACTTAAGATTATTGTAAGAAACATCAGTTCTAGAAGTTGATTTTATCCTCCTTTTCCATGGTAAACTTTACGGGGAAAAGACAGAAAATGTGCAAACTACTCATTTATAAATATTTTTTTAAGAGGGAACTATTTCTTCCAGAGATTATATGTGAACCCACCATACTTACACTGTCCAGGAACTACACAGCGACTATAAAGGCACCTCTTAAACTGAACTTTCATCTATAATTTCCCTACGAGGAATGACGGATACCTTAAAATACATGCAACATCCCTGTGTCAATTAATTTATGTTCCAAAGCATGTGCAGTGCAATCACGGTAACATTCAATACCCATTTAACAAACCCCTAACACAGGAAATTTCATCAAGGTTGCACTTCTAAATCTCTTCACGCTGACTTGTACAGGGACATTAATGAGAAGATAAATTTTTTTCTTAAAGTAGAAAGACAGGGTCCTAAGACAAAACCAAACCCCACTTATCAATCTGACCACTGTCTTTCCCATTTGTGAACATGCCTGAAGCTCCTCCACTCCTCAGTTCTCCAAAATCCTCAGTATGTCTCTCACATGAGTTATTAGCATTAATGATGTGTAGTTACAGCTCTAACTTTCATATGGTCAGTCTATTTGACCAGTTCTGCTTCAGGATGATTTTAAAAAATAAGTGTATGTTACTGAAAAAAAAAGCAAAACACTTTTTCTTCTGGGTTTGTTAGTTGATGGAGCTCAGTTGGTTCCCTTTGTCAATTGCTCAACTCTGTGGATGTATTTTAAAATTCTGCACAGAGACCTATAGATCAATAGCCAGACATGAAAAATCTAGATCAAATGCCTTTTTAAAGTTATAAAGACCATAAAGAACTTCAGCTGTGTGTCACAGCTTAGAAAAATAAGCTTCAGGTCTACTACAAACAGCTGGTCCATGTTATTAGAATTGTGCTGCTTCTAACCTATGTATGATTTCCAAATGAAGTTTAACAAAAACTAGAGGAAGAAGTAGCGATGTGAAGCTGTGAAAACCTTCAGAGTAAAAGTCTGAAAAACTGTAGTTTGCCAAACACATAAATGAAAGAAACATGCACATCTAAACTCAAGTGCTTCACTTAAATTTTAAAGAGGCTTCTGTGGGTTGCAAAAAAACAGCAAACTAGGTCAGTACAAACACATTCCCTCTGAGTTACTTTTTCTCTTGCTCCCCCCCTCAGCTGTGTGTATATCAGTATCTCTAGAACCTTCTCTGCCCATTTATTACAAACTTTGCTACGCACAGATAAATCTCTGTAATGTTTAACCCGTGTCCCTCAACTCATGTAGGGTTAAGAACTTGGAAATTAGTCAAAATAATTCCTATAACGCCACTTCTCCAGAAAAGATGATGGATGTATTGAGGACATGTTAAAAATGAAGGCAGGCAGAGCATCTGGTCTACCAGGTGTCCCAGCAGTCAGCTAGAACATGTAGATATGGCTGCCTACAGTAATCTCTCAAACACTACTCAAAGAGCATATGGAGCACAATATGGAAAACTTACAGAGCGTGATCCAGAAGAGAAAGGGCTGCTCCTCTTGTCTTTGGCACAGTAGAAAGGATTCAGAAATTCCTACTGTCTGCACAGCAGCTTCATAGCACGTGTATCACAGAATCATAGAATACTTTGAGTTGGAAGTGACCTTCAAAGGTCATCTACTCCAACACCCCTTCATTATTTTTGTATCTACATACTATATGCCACTTGGTATATTAAAGTATCTACAGCCCACAGAAGTGAAACTTTGTGCCTACAAGACAGCCACGGTCTCCCTCGTATCAAGCACTTCTTGTCTGAAAAGAGATGAATGGCAAACAGTCAGCCACAACAAATCACAGAATGCTTTGGGTTGGAAGGGACCTTTAGAGGTCATCCAGTGCAACCTCCCTGCAGTAAGCATGGACATCTTCAACCAGATCAGGCTGCTCAGAGCCCCATCCAACCTGGCCTTGAATGTTTCCAGGGATGGGGCACCTACCACCTCTCTGGGCAACCCATTCCAGTGTTTCACCACCCTCACTGTAAAGAATTTCTTCCTTATATCCAGTCTAAATCTGCCCTCCCTTAGCTTAAAACCATCACCCCTTGTACTGTCACAACTGGCCCTGCTAAGAAGATTGTCCCCATCTTTTCTGTAGGCCCCCTTCAGGTACTGGAAGGCTGCAATAAGGTCTCCCCACAGCCTTCTCTTCTCCAGGCTGAACAGCTCCGACTCTCTCAGCCTGTCCTCGTAGGAGAGGTGCTCCAGCCCTCGGATCATTTTTGTGGCCTCCTCTGGACCTGCTCCAACAGGT